TTCACAGGAGACACGTTCGTAGTATTCACACGACTTTTGCCCGTCTTCTGAAAAGAATTTGGTTCAAATATCGAAACAGAGTTCTTCCACATTTTAAGGCCGATTCTAGTTACACCCAACGTTTTCGAAATACCACCGGACGCTAGATCTCTTTGTGTTCCAATCGCGTATATGCATTTTCGTTAGGCACGTAAATTTGGGTTCAGGTATGCAGGTCATACCACGCCTCCACAGTTGTCCTTTTTGGAAACTTTGTCACGCGCTGAAGGTTTAATCGGGTTGAGTCGTGTGGACGACTGTTTCTTTAACATCATTTCGACGGACAATCAACCGGTTGAGGCGTTTTGCGTCACGCGTGAAGTGAACAAATGTCGTGGCAGTTTCGTGGGTGAATCCATCGGCATCTGCCTGGCTAAGCCATCTTCTACTGTTTGAACTGTAAGCTCTGCGAGGCTATTTGCAGTTGCGGGGTTCGGTACAGTGGCTGTATACCTAGGTCTGCTCTTCTTTATTATTTGTTTGGGCGCGGCATTAGGGACCCCCGTATGACTGGCGGCCTTGCCTTAAAGTCCAGGAGGGTTATGGGTAGGCGCATTAGGATTAGAGATAAGGGGATTAGGAGCAGGGTTAGGGTTAAGGTTAGGACACGAGGAGAGGTATCCTCCCTGGAATTTAGTGTGAGATCCTCTGCAGTGCGAAGGGTGATCCATACTCCCGTGTCAGACACAATCTTTTAAAACTCCTCACTAGCGAAGAACAAGCCATTATCGGTTACGACCATTTCAGGTTTTCCAAGGCAGATGAAACGGATCGTAACTTACGGGTCGCAGTCGTGAGAGAACAGGAGTTGTCGGCAGAAGTCGCCTCAGTCCATTTGGTGGGAGCGTCTACCATCACCAAAATCATGCGGCCCTGGGATTGTTCAAGACAATCAATGGGTGTCCCTTCAGCGGCGAGTTGGAGCAGGTCGAAGGCTTCTGGGACGCCTTTGATAAAGTCTTTGACCGCAGAGCGGCGGCTACGGGACACACTCATCCTGTTGTGTCTCGGGGCTCAATCTCGAGCCCTACCGCCAGGTGCTCAGCGGCCAGTAGTAGATGCAGAATAACATTGCCGACAAAGACAAGGTTGACTTGGATGGCTACTTCCAGCCAATTAGTCATCGTCAGCCATCTATACCCGGCCCCATGTCTTTGCAAGCCCCGAGGCTTGAGCCCACGGCCTGCTGGTGAGAAATCCAACGCCCCAATCATTGAGCCAGGGGCTCATTGTCCTGTCGGTTGCCATCGCGTACACAAACAATGCCAGGGGTGCCTCAGTGCTCTTTGACATACGGGGCAGGCTTTTACCATCTGTCCGATATTCACGCCAACTCTGGGCATTGAACCATAACTACAGAGGAGAGCCTTTATTCTAACTGTATCAGGATGGCTTATCGACCTTGCGACGGTACTAATTTAAGATTACTCCATAGTATGCACCCGTCTTACTGACTCATTTCATCTTAACGACTACAAAACGGCTGGAAATGAGAGGTAGAGGATGGTTAGCCATATTGTAAAGTTCCTTCGACCTGAGGTAAAACTGGGTAGTCGAAATACACCTTTTAATTCGCTAGCAGTTTACGGGTGCCTTCACTCAGTTCTGCAAATGTTAACAGCCCCAAAGGCAACTGTTCCGTTAACGGCGTCGTGTGTAATAGCAAGCCTTATCAAAGCATCATTTACTGTGTTTGTACCATCTGTAACGAATTTTATTGCATAAGTGAGAGACGAAAGACCGCCTATGCATCCTCAGCGAGGACACTTTTTATATTACACGTGTTCCCCCATTAAACCTAACAGAGGTTTGTGATCGGTATAAATTTCGAAGGGTCGATCAAAAAGGTGCTCATGAAAGCATTGCGTAGCAAACATTATGGCTAAAACCTCCTCATGTAGGTTAGAGTATTAGGTTTCCGCCAGAGACGAAGTTCTAGCTGCAAACGCAGTCGACAAAAAGGAACCAGAACCGAGCCCATACCATACGGGGACGCATCGCCTTTCAGTATAATAGGTTTTTCTGGATCACGGTAAATCAGGGCAGATGAGCTTAGAGTCGTTTTAGTCTGTCGAACAACATTCTGTTCGATCTCAGACCAGTTTCAGGGACGATTATTTTGGAAGAGGCCTTAAAAAGGCTTAAAGATGGTGGTGGTTTGATTAGTGAATGTACCAAAGGGAGTAAATCACCGAAGGAACGGACTCAATTGACTAGCATTGCTTGGACGAATAGAGATCAATTTTATCTACCTTAAAGCCTAGGTATTCCATCAATTAAGGAAGGAACGTGCACCTGTCTCTATTGAGCTTGAAATCAATTTCTTTTAAATGCGTTAAGACCATATGCTGGGGTCAATGTGACTATTTTCAAATGGGCCGGTTGCTAAATGTCGTCAAGATATGCGCAAATGTGGGATACGACCTTGATGAGGCCATCAATCAGGCAGTGAAGCAAACCGGTGCCAGAATTTCCTCCTTTTGCATCTCAGCGGTCCTTGGTGGCGGGATCTCGGAAGTCTGGATCTAGGACGACATTCCCGCAGACGTTTCAGGAAAAGGTTGAAAATCGGTTACTGTCACAAAAGGGTGCACACGGATCCCTGAGCCGCAGGCGAGGAATAGGCGTTCAGTTTAGTTGCCGTTTGAACCTTCAGCTTGCGTTCCCCACAGATACGCACAAAACCGTCGCATTTAAGAATAGGGACTATGGGGACTGTCTATGCCGAATACTGCATCCGTTAAGTGATAGCTGCTCCCTATGGATCATCCAGTTCTTATTCGACCCTCGGTGCGATCTCATCAGGAACTGAATGGGTTTTGAAGAGCCGGGACTGAAAATCTGACTTAAGTTTTAATTTCTCAGGCGGTCTCTGATAATGGAAAGTGTAATCGTCATGAAACAATTGCAGTTTTCCAATACGGGATCTGGAGTCGGTTTGGCACGAATTCGATTTGTATGGGACAGCACAGAAGGCGCACATATAAAGCAAATCCATGCGTAAAAACCCCCAGAAGAATTACATATTCTGCCCAGTATAACTGCGAAACGCTGAGCGAGTCGCAAGATGGTGGAGTTTCTGAAGGGATGCGTCATTGATGAGACTAAGAGTGAAACCTGTACCGATTCGAAACCTCAGAGGATGACGATTATACGAAAGCGCGGTCGAGTATGGCGGTTAGAGCAACCTGCCTGATGAAATTTCTCGGATTGTTGACCGGTTCTCCGCCATTAGATCAACATTGGGGATGTAAATGTTATTATTTGTTCGCGTTTGGGAGAAGCCTATTTGCTCGATGCGGTCAGTTTTCCCGCAACACCGAAAAATAAGCGATTTTGGCGAGGGAGACCTCCGACCCACGTCATAGGACTGACATCACTCCCGCGATTGGCTGAATCCTCGTCTTGCCGCATGCGCCCCTGACGATGAGCGAGATCACAGGCCCTCTCCCAGGAAAAACTCTTCTTCCTTGGGACTAAAGTTGCATGCATTCTCTCACCTCGCAAACCACAAATTAAATGCTGGATGAGCATCACCCGCCCAAATCCGTCTGCCTGCATCACCCTATACCGGCAGTCTAAACGTTGATCCAGTTTAATAATGAGATCGTCGACGACCTGATCCGATTCCTGACCCATCTGACAAAAGTCATAACCAAAGACGACGTCTTTTTCGCTTCATGGAGACTCCAACTCGGTGAAGGCCGCTCGGAGATTAGTGCACCTTTGCAACTTGAAGGCGTCGAAGCACTTTCGTCCAAACTTTTCGAGACTGATCCTGGGAAGCTTCAATTCAGTTATGTTTAGCGTGATCGTGGGTGAAAAGTCGCGACCAGTTCAGCAAGGTCCTTGAAGATTTGTTGGGGAACGGACATGCGTAACCCCCTCCCCCCCTTAAACTATCTTCCAGCATGTGCCTTTTTATGTATTGAAGCAACCATCCAGCGCAGACACGATTACCCCCTTTGATATATTTAAGAACACCGCGTTTCATCTCCTAGAAACACCTGTCATCACCATTCCCGTGTTGCAGGTAGACTTGCGCCATAATTCAGGGGGAGTACGCATCCGTGTCCGACTGAAGATTTTTCTCCACTGCAACCAAGAATAATATGCGTTTCGTAGTGCTTTTCGGCCGGTGCGTAAGTAACACCGGAGCCATATCCATCATACCGCTTAAAAAAAGTTATGTATGCAAAACAAGAGGCTGGTTGCAGGCGTGACGTGTACTGGGCACTAAACACAGCACGAGCGGTACAAGCCCCGCGAGGCGTCTGTGATTGGACGGTGACCAATTAGCACCTAAGAGTTCTGATCATGCGTTCGGACCCCCGAACGTCCATTTGTTGCGCGCGTCACGTGATGTCTACGCCCTGCACTGGCAACGTATACTGCGGTCGCAATCTTGTGTAACAATTTCAGTTTTGAAGACGGTAAAATCGTTTACCCTGTGTATGCCCACAGGAGGATCAGGTGTGAATTGAGAACGCAGGATTTGCAGCAAAAAACAAAGGGCGGCCTAATACCAATATCCGCCATTTTTGCGGTCAGACGAATATAGGGTAGAGGCATCTAGGATGAACTTTCCATGGGCAAGCCAGTAAAGTGCTCAGGAGTCCGACAGTCAACAAACTAGGAAGGGCCAATACGAGGAAAGACCATTGGTAGGTATAGAACTAATCGCTTTTTATCCTACTTAGGACGCACGGAGGTAGCAAAATAAAGCAAAAAATAACGTGTGACATTCCTAATATTGACGACGGTAGTCACGGGCACACAAAATATAGGACAAAGTAGAAAAAAGAATCTCTGTCTCTGCGAGCGGCCACGACAGCATTAGCGCCGAAGCAGGTGGGAGGGGATGGGACAGGACGGAGGCAATAAATGAAACGTCCTAAGGAGGTAGCTTTTGTACAGTGGAAACGCGGTGACGAGCGGCAGCACAACGCGGAATGCCATAATCAGACATCTGCGCTAGATGGGTCGCCCATATCTGCAGCGCCTCCGGCGTGGCCGCCATCCTCCCCCCGATCCTCATGGTCATCATCTTGAACCTCGTCCGGAGGGACCTCAACCTCCTCCTCCGTTTCCCAGGAGGAGTCACTTGAGCTACTGCTGCCGTGTGAGTTCACTTCCCAGGTGTCATCTGAGTGATCAGGTGGACTAGAAGTGTTCCTATGGTCGTCAGCAGTGCGGGCCACATCTCGTGTACGCAGCCGTCGAGGCGATAAGCCGTCGGTACTTTCATCCTCCTCTTCTTCATCATCGTCATCATCATCCTCGTCCATGTCTTCATCGTCATCGTCATCATCCATTACGTCCTCATCGTCGTCGTCGTCATCATCATCGTCCTCATTGGGCTGCTCATCCTCGTCGTTATCTGCCTCTCGTTCACTCTAGGCGACAAAAGAACAAGCTTCAGTAAAACGTCAACTCCATGCTTCAACCGCAAGTATAACAATAATCCTACATGAAAGACAGTGTAATTTTGTCAGCATCGAATACTGGTACACCAATCATGTTACGTAGGGGTACACTTTGTTTCAAACGCCTTTCGGAACACAAAAAAGGACAACCATAAAGTCTGAGAACATACCCGTTTTCTGCCAATACAGTAAATTCGGCACTGGGTTATTGGATCGTTGCTGTTCTTTTCCCCGACTTTTGCAATTATTGCCAAGTATTGACCAGTGAAGTCCAATGCCAGCTGTTCGATTCGGTGCTTTACATCGACCGAGGCGATCAGACTGTAGTCGAGCGCGTCCACAGTCCGGAACATGCTTTGCATTGCCAACCTGTTAGCGCCAAGTTCTTCCAAAACATCATCATAGTCTGGGCCGAAGATGCCTGGAGAGAAAAAAAACGCACTTACGTACTAGGAACGTATGAAACACTTAAATAGAGACAGTAAGCTGAAGTAGACGAGCAGTTATAATGGCCGGACTGAAGTAGTTACTTAGTGCATACCGGCGTAAATGGCATCAACGTTCTCCGTGAATCTGGCCTCCATACGATCGAGTGCCTGGACAGTGTGTAGCAGGCGCCATGTGCGCATATCCCAGACGGCAGAACCAACAATGACCTCCAGGCCGTTTGGATGAAAAACGCCGGAAACAAGGTCCTGAAATTTGTCAATCTTATGGATCGGCCTGTGAGCTGGACCGCTAGCCGTCGCTTGTAGGCTGGACAGACCTTTACGATAGTGGTCGACACTACCTGAACAACGCAAATCCCAGACTACGCCGTCGTTTAAGACCAGGTTGTCGTCCATTGAGAAGGTTGCTTTGTTTAGGATGTAGTCGCTCTGTTTGACCGATGAAAAGAGGTCAGCAATCTTGGTACCCGTAGTGAGATCATATACCTAGGTAAAATGAAAGAAAAAGTGGTCTCAGCGTAATTAGTGGACAATCAGGCCGAGGTAAAAACAGCCTACCCGAACAAACTTGCAGGTTCCGTCAGATTGTATTTTAAAAAAACGAAAACGGACAGGCACATCGAAAGGGCGCTTGCAAACCCATCAACAGGATTCGTTTGCCAAGTATGGAAACATGATCATAAAGATCTCGAAAGTGCTCACAGCCCCGAGTTCACGAAGCCGGTATGAATTTGAGCCTACAGGACGAATAAAAGGTTCACCATGTAAAAATTGAGGTAGATAGGTAGTTCCAACTTATGGACTCTGTTCTCTCTGCTTCCGCACTTGGGGTTTTTTTTCCAGACATCCCTAAAGCAATATCAATTCCCTGGACAATATCGCTGGTCGTATGAGACGTGCAAATATAGATCGCTACGCCCGTTTTCTCCGCCAGATGACGATGATACATACTGGATTTGAAACATTACTCTTCCGAAATAAAATTGAAGAGGGCGACAGTGGCGAAACACACAGAGTTTAATGACACCATAAATTTCACGACTTTTTGTTAAACCGCGAAAGGCCGCTGAGGGCAGAAAATAGGGCGCCAATAAGTTACACAAGGAAGCACCTGGTGGACAATCGGCCATTGGTATAGGTAGTTATTAGCGTCCGCTGTATTACCCTTTTGCTGATTGGTTGGATAAGTCAAGTTCTCTCTGTAAGCTTTTTCTGCTTGAAATATGTCCTGCCACGCTTGAGAAACATGCACAACATCGGAAGGTAATTTCCTAGTCGGTCCTAGGTCTGCGAGTCAGCCGGATGGGCAGATAATGACAATAATATATGAGCAATTTAAACGTCAACCAAACCGGTCTTCGCAACTTGAGTAGTCGAGACACATTAGAAGGTTGGTTCAAAATGCAGTCAAGTACACACTCGTGTCGATCCCCCGCGGCCAAATTTATGAGCAAATTACTTAACTTCCTGACTTCACTTGCTCACACTGCGCGAACTCATCTATAAGTAACATTTGGCGATTACAAAAAGCACAACTGGCTAGCAAAGCCGCGTCCAAATCGATAAACATGTCATTTTGCCTAAAAAAATTTGACTAACCAGAATTGCAGTGAGGCACTCACTGCAAAACTGGAAACCGACCAGGGCACGAGAAACAGCAGCTCCCGCATTGTAACTACACGTGGGTATACTGTTAACAACGACAGTGCCAGAAACTTACTTTGGCCATTTTTCCGTATGTAGCAACGACTTTGTTCTGTAGTCCCGTCCTGCAAAATTCTCCGTATCTGGCCTCTTCGATGCTGAACCTGGAAGATGGGAAGAGACCGGAGAAGGGAGTTATGAGTAGAGGAACAGGTGCGAATGAGCAGCGTAATGCAGATAAATAACCGGCAAGATCTTACTACGTAGCCGTACCTGTTAGGAGTTAGACTGGGGCTTGTCTACTGCAGGTACGGCTACGAAATAAGATCCGACCAGGTAATCCAATATTTGTCAAAAAACGCAAAAAACCAGAGAATGGTGTAAGTCTGTTCGCCGTGAATGCAAGGGTGTCCAGGGAATAAAATTGGGTATGGGTGAGACGCACATGAGGTCCTCGGTGTTTGCGCGCCAGGGGGTGCCGTTGCCGCCGCCAGCACCGCCAAGGCCATCAGTGCTGGTGGGGGTGAGGCGAGCCACCACCATGGCCGGTTCGCCCCAATCAGCGCAGACCAGGAGACGTCGGCCATCACGTGAATGCTCTAACCGACTGATGGGCGAGGTCTGAGCGCGGAAGAGCTCAACTGGGAGGCCACCATCCTCCACGTTAACCCATGTCACTGCACCTGAAGTGGTGCCCAGGAAGGCGCCGTCATCAGTGCGCTGTGTCAAAAGAAAAAGACAGAGGTGAGAAGATGCAGTCAAGATATGGAAACGTAGCGAGGCTAATGGGATGGTAACGGAGACAGGAGCAGGCGATTGACTGGGCAGGTGAGTCCAGCTAGATTCTGAACTATAAGTAGCCTTCTTGAGGGCAGGCTGACATAAGGTGAATAAGAACCCTTAACGAGCGCTTACTCCTCAGAGGATCAGGGAATCCTTACATGAAACGAAATTCAGGCCCATACAAATAAGTCGAATTGCAAAAGTTCCTTTCTCCACGTAAGAGAGTAAAATCCTGATCTATAATGACAGACACGTTTACTCGACTCAGAGTGAAGAGCTAAATGTCGGCAATCTTGCTAGCTATTTCATTCTGTTTTTTTATGAAAGGGGTGTATGCACGATTTGTAGAGAGCTTTGAACGAAAATGCGGTCAGTAAAAAAAGAAAAAAACGTTCGAGAATTCGGCCTAATTGGGAAGTTTGAGAGAGATTCCGGTCCTAGAAGACCTCAAATGTAAGTAATTTTCACATTTGAGGAAGACATAAATTGCAAAACATCTGGTTACTCAAAAAGCTCAAAGGGATCTGCTTATGCATGTCATAGACATACTAGACTTCGGTGAGAACGCCCGTAGTCTCAATTAGAAAAAGTTGAGGGAAAGAAGCATTGCAGTCTGACCCTCAGTCCAAAGTAATGTTGATTTGGTTGTCAGTTGCTAGTGCCACAAAGCACGGTCTTTAGCGCATAATGATAGGTTAAAAGAGTGTCTGATCCAATCTAGATCGACCTCATATTCTCTTCCTTCTCTCCTACCGGCGGTAAGTCCTAAGCAAGCCAACTGAAGATGGGATTTAATGTAGCGCTTGATGCCTGCATCTAACAAATGCAACACACAGTGGGACGCTGCAAAAGATTATAATACACATAGGTTATGGCCCCGATGCACATTAAAGTGAGTCATCGTATTAACATTTTTGGGGAACAATGCTTTCAGGGCCTTTTAATTCTTACTTGAAACGGCTCCATCACAAGAGATTATACAGACTGGTCTGACATTCTACCGTAAAATGAATCACCATCTCGTTAAATAAAATGCATGTGGGACACGTACCCTGGTCTTCCTACCTCTACTGAAAACTTATAAATACGAGAAGGAAGAAATACCTTTCAGAAATTAGGACTGCACCAGGCAAAATCGCGGGCATGATTAATGCGTTTACGCACACTGCTGGAATCTATTACGACTTCGCAGCGCAACTGACGGCCAACTATGACCCTACGGACGCAATCAGCTGTGATGCTCACCAGTGCCCACGTATGCATAAGGGTTTGGAAACAATGGCGGTCGCCGCAGAAACCTGCTCATGGCTATCACTGACCGTCATAATACATTGATTCTATCACAGATCCAGACCGTCGATTCCACGAGCGAACAATTACGTCATTGGCAGGAGGACCATCAGAGGCTCTGAGCCACTGGTTACTAGTGCTTTGGGGGGATTGAGCAGAAAACGGGCGAGGCAAAACCTTCAGGATGAGCCAACTGTAAAAAACTCGACGTCTCGGTGGGAATCGAACCCTAGACAGTAAGATGAAGGCTTTGGTACAGCCGACGCTCTAACCACCTGAGCTACGAGGCCCCGCCGGACGACGCGAGTTTAATCACATTACCCGTCCAACCTACTGCAGCGTCTGGAATACACCATATCTGATACAGTAAGTTGACTGCCCAAGCAGGATTTCCTAAGTAATTCACCTAGAATCCACTAGATGACTACCAGGCTCGGGTGGTCCGGCGGGGCCTCTTAACTCAGGTGGTTAGAGCGTTGGCTGTAATAAAGCTTTCACCTTACTGTCGTGGGTTCGAATCCCACTGAAGCTCCGAGTTTTTCACAGTTGGATTGATATGACTTATTCAAAATCTGCCAAAACATCTATGACGGACAAAAAAGTTTACAGAAGTGAGGCAATTATTTGCGCCTGCCTTTCATGCAAACAAGATTCGCCTGTATCCCACCCAGCAGTCAATGTGTATAATTTTCAAAGAACGAACCGATAAACCAAATATATTTTGGGGATGCTCGTCCACTTCTGTAGTTTCGAAGTTAAGAATGCCCAAAGGTAAATGACATGGAACAGACCTGTTTAAATCACGGAAGTTCAATAAGAAATCAACAGTGAACAGAGAGTTATGGAGGAGAATTCACGGTGGACCGATCGAAAACGTGGAAGTAAGCCATAATCAAGTGAAATAAGAAGCCCGACTTAATCCCCTATTAGGGCAGAGCCCAACTATCGACGGAGCACACAAAAGGGAGCCCGTAGACTGATATCAGACTGGAATATCTCTTAAGCACTTACCGAAAAGCAGCAGGCTGTCTGTACGTCTTCATCCAATTCCCGTACGACAGAGATGGGCTGGAAGCGGCTGTGCAGGAAACGTCTGTCATATTTTCGCGAGCAGCGCATGCGCATTGAGCCAGAGAAGGCCTCACGCATGAACAGGCGTCTAGTGTAGTCGACCGAAGTGTCTTGCTGGGGCTCGGGACATCGATGCGGATGGTAAAGGGAGAATCGCGGGCACACAGAGACCGGATAGGGACATTGGGCGTGTTGATGTAGCAGAAAAGACTCCACAATCTTCGAGAGGGACATCTCTGAGTCAGCCGGCGCTGTCGGCTGCTTCATGTACAAGTTTGGCACTCCTGGGCGTTCTAGACGGTCACGATACAGCTAAGGATGGAGGGAGAGTAAATAAATGCAGTGTTCAAGACAGAGGGGAGATGTCCCGCAGTCCATCGTACTTTTTGGCGTGATCAGCCGGCCGTTGACCAGATACGCGATGTAATGCGTCATGTACAGGGCAGAGCAGTATAGAGCAATGAATCCCGCCATTACCATACCACCAATTCAGTTTTGACGCAATGACTAATGGTGCATCTAGGCAGTGTCACCCTTCGCCGGAACTACAGTGAATGTGCTATCTGATGAAATGTTAACGGAAATTCTGAAACATGCCTTCGATTCTGAAAGACTACTTAAGTAGGGTTATAATATTAGTTATCACGCAGCATTATCCAAGATATTTCAGTCAAGCCAAGATGTCAGCTTTTGAATGGGCACCTTCTCGACCGTCCGCAAAATCTACACTCTGTAGAGAATGAATACTTACGTAGTACGAACTATTGCATTGATTTCGATATCCTTATAAATTCAATAATTTTCAATAGAGTACGTGCACAAACATATTCTTTACTGTACTCATTTTGAAGCATACCATGTCATCCTCCAAGAAAAGATGTCTTTTGGTTTTCAAAAACTTTGCAATTTCCCGGATAAGTTTTCGCCTTACCTGCCGCTACACTTGCTTTCAGAGTTTACAAACCACACGATTCAGAAGAAGATGCGACCACTGGAACAAGGAGTTTATTGGTCGGACGTCCCAGATTCTCACTCGAAATCAATCATCAGAGACAATTGCACGGTGTATACATTCCGTCAAATGAATATCACATATCTCTACGCCGTTAAAAGGATGTCATATAGCACTCATAAAATTGTGAAATTGGTATGGACCAGGTTTTTTATTTTATAAGTAACACTAATAAACGTGCTGATGCGAAGCTGTATGAATGGGCATTTCGGGGTCTTCAAATCTCACATAAATAGAAACCTTGAAATTGAAGAACGTCCTTCCTTTGAGCACAAAATTTGAGGAAGACGTAATATGCTACAAAGTTACTACGAAAAAATATTTTTACGAACGAGTTCTATAAAATATGATTAAATTTATAAGGGTATCGAAAGCCAATGGGAGAAACTCATACTACCAATAGGGATTTCAAAGGTACACACATAATTCCCTGAAATATACTGATACTGATAGTACTTACAGTAGGTGGGCTAACTCATGAAATGTCAACAGAAATTCCGAAATTCGTCTTCGGTTCAAAAAGATAAATTAAGTAGGGTTGTAAAGCTTGTCAGCCTGCAACATAATTATATCATATCTCAGTTACCTCAGGATGCCGGTTTTCGAATGAACTTCCTTCCGGCCGCATGCAGAAACTACGCTCCGTGAAAAATGACTACTTAAGTAGCATAATTTTTTTCATTGATTTTCGATGCCCCTAAAAGTCCAATTATATTTCATGGAAAACATACATAAAAATATTCTTTTCTGTAGTCGTTTTGTAGCATATTACGTCTTCCTCAAATTTTGTGCTCAAATAAAGGGCGTCCTTCATTTTCAAAGTTTCTAATTAAGTGGGATATTAAGACCCCGAAATGCCCATTAATACAGCATCGCATCAGCACGTTTATTAGTGTGACTTATAAAATAAACAACCTGGTCCAAACTACAAGTCGTATAATTTCTGCGTATAGGAAACCATACATTCCTCTACCGTATTAAGAGGAGACCGTGTGGGGTTCATAAACTTAGGCAGTGGATTTGATCCATATTGTTAACTTTACAAGCCACATTGGTAAATTCAGAGATATGACGATTTATGATTGGTCATGTCACGGTATTTAAAAGTCTAACAATTAGAAACTTTTTTAAAACCAAATTATGTCCCGCCTTCGCGTATAAAATTGGAAGAAGGCATTATTTTTTACCGAATGAGTAGAAGAATGAATAATGTTATGCAAGTTTTCCATAAAATATAACCGAATTTTTAAGGCCATCGAAAATCAATGAGAAAAGTGCATGCTATATAAGTAATCACTTTTTACAGATTATAGATTTTGCATGCTGCCGGAAAGAAGTTTTTTCAAAAACCGGCATCCTGGGGTAACTGAATTATTATAGAATTATGCTGCTTGAGGATTAGATCTTCAACTCCACTTAATTAATCTTTTCGAAACGAAAACGCACTTCAGAATTTCAGTTGACATTTTGTGAGTTAGCCCACCTACTGTAGGTAGTCATTCCTTACAGAGTGTAGAATGTGCAGACGGCCGAAAAGAAGCTCATTCAAAAGCCGGCATCCTGGCGTGACTGAAATATCTCGGGATCATGTTGTGCGTTAACTAGTATTACAACCCGGTTAAAATAATCTTTCCGAATCGAAGACACATTTCAGAATTTAGGTTAACGTTTCGTGAGATAGCACATCTACAGTACTTTGGCCGGTCTAGGCAGCATCTGTGTGGCCCAGACCTTGGACCGGCTGTGGAGAATAGAAAATATACGATAAACGACAGCTCTTGAGCTACATATGGCTTTTGTACTTTTAAAAGAGGTCACTTGAGTGGCAAATTGGGGACTGCTGCATGGTCTGCGGCTGCTTCTTCGTCTTGGTTCAAAGCGATCTGAACTAGTAGAGTGAAGTTAGACTATCCGCTGGCGGTCGATGCGTTGAGTAGAGAATGGATCGGTGAACATGCACAGTCCCAACTGCGCAATCCGCCCCTGCTCCAGAGCAAGAAAGCCATAGAGAGACGGGCACAGCCCTATTGACAAACAAATCGATGCGGCACACTATTCTGGAATGGAACTTACGTAGACCCGAGTATTTTATGCCACCCAATACCACGCAAGTACCCTCTATGGGTGCTAGACAAAACAATTTATCTATTTATTACTTACTAAATTAGCAATAAAGGAGACCGTATGCGACCCTACCACTAACAGCAACCGATGAAGCGGCTTTTAAACCCGGGGCTGAAAGAGTAACCATTCCTTCGTTGTGGGTTAAAACTTTCATATACAACAATAAGACGTCGGTAACAATCGGGAGATGACACCCAAAAAATCCGTTACCTAGAAATAATACCTTTAACAGTGGACTCAAACGTCTTGCAGAAAACACCAATATATACACGGAAGCGTTGCAGGAAACAGATGAGCTTAGAAGCAAGAAAAGAAGACATTTTAAGGTCATTTACATTGGAGGGAGGACGGCATTAAATGCAGTACATTTACGAAATCCACTGTTATGTCTGAGCAGTAAGCAGAGGAGCATGAGAACAGACGCGAAGACGTGAGCTACAAATTCAAAAAAGTAAGAAGAAGAAGGAGAACAGCACAATCATTTCAGGTCTCATGTTCTTCCCTGCGGCCTGCCTAATTATATATGCACCATCAAGAACAGGTTAGCAGTCGTTTTCGAGCTAGCACTTCGACCTGGAGGGGAGAAATGTGTGCTCAAACGTTCATGAGAACAGAACCCAAGACATTCATTAAGAGACTTTAGACGGCGCACAAGTAGCTGACGCCAGCTGGAAGAAAAAGCACCCAGATGTGACTGTGGTCTGTCGGCCAGACGCTAACTCCGATAGCCGCCCAGTCAACCTACCGTTCGTCCACGAAACCACACCGCCACAACTTCGCAAAAAGGGAACAACAGGTAGGTCAGCTAATCCAACCAGTATAGGCGTTTCAGGTTCGTTCAATAATGCACATGAGCAGAAGTAAGGAACGTCAGATAACTACACAACCCCTGCCAAAAATCGACTTGCATTCATCCAGGCATGCGCGTACCGATGAGCAAGGAACACATACCTTTGGGGTAGACAAAGTTCCACCAACGGTAGCACGGAGTTTTGTTACACGAAGAGTGGGAGTTGCAAGTCCGGCATCGCCCGATGGTCCAAGTGTACTAGTGGATGACGAGTTTTCAGTCGCTAAGGGCTGTGGGGCAGTGTTGGAGGAGAAAGGATGTGGAGGCGTGGCTCCAATATCATCATAGAAAGGTAACTGCAACGGTACGGCGTGATCTAACTTCAAGTTTGCCTCCCTTTGTAGGGCTGCAGCTGCGTCGTGTAAGCCTGGAGTGGGAGAAAGAGGAGAACATGCCTTTCTTTACTTGTCAAGCTACCGTCTGGTAAACTAACAAGCTCGCAAACATGAGAACCTGCACGTGCAAAATAAGTATAACTGCATTTGTACACGTGGGCGCAGAAAACCGACTAGAAATACTACTCATTCAGAATAGAAGTTGACACCATAATGAGTTGAGGGGAAAAAAGTGGATAGCTGGTTACCCTTTGCTTGCAGATGACGCCATATAAGTTCCAACAGCTCTTCCTGATCCCATTGGATACGCGTCTTAGCAACGATGACTGCACGACGGACGCGATCCAAGGACATGTCCGTTGCTGTTATCCCATCCGAGAGAGATCCAAGAACCAAACGGATCAGGATAGTCGCGTAACGGCAGAATTCGGCGTGTTCCACCAACCGATCCGGCAGGATTGGCTCCTTCATTAGTACTGAAAGCGTGACCAAAACGGTTTTCAGGTTCATAACCAGCTTGTGTCAGGCGTGGTAGGCAAAAGGATCTAATGGGATACTATCTGGAGATATAACTCTGCTCAGCGTAAAAATGCGAAAATATCATAATGAAATATTTTTCATCCCAGTTGGGAGAAGAATGAGCAAGTTGCAGGTCTCTTGTAGATGTCAAAAGACTATATAGTATTGAAGAAACTGATTTAGAAGGCTGTTGAGTTTTGGGTGCATGCGAAAAATCAAAATCGTACACTGAAGAGAGCCCTTGGTGAAAAGTGGCAGCTTAGCAAGCATGCTGCGGACTTCCTCAGACCGGGCGAGGCCAACCAAACCGCGACAGGCCAGGGTGCGAACACTGTCAGCCTCGGAGATGGGTTGTTTGACGTCCAACTGTTGTAACAGCAGCATTAAACCGTGTTGTCGGCGAACCACGCTCCACAGGCGCATCTGATGATAAAGTAGGGGGTGCCGAAGGGGCTCAACCACGGTGGGACCACGAACACCGGTTTGACGAGGGGCCGGAGATACCATCGAAGGGCTTTCCGAGGCAGGCATGACAGACAGTGGCGTCGGGGGCGGCTGAGAGCCGGCAGCAATTTGCTTTGCTGGTGTTTCGTAAGTGGGTGCCAGAATGCTGTCGAGCCGACGTTTACGTACACTTCCGGATGCACGTGACCCCGTCATTGGACGAGTAAATGTCTATTAAAAACATAAGGCTCTTTTTCAATTCGGCAAAATTAAATTTCTGAAGGGGTAAGGGTGACAGCAGATGGCGTTAACTTAGAGGATTATGGAGGTATCCATGTCCTGTTTGATCACGTGCGACAGAAGATTCACCCCCCCCCCCTCCCCATCCCCACTTAGGTCTCTTTTTTCAATAGGGCTATTAAAAAAACTCAGGAGTGTGGGTTTCTGATTGGAAGAAAATCGGGGGTTTTACTTCTAACTGCTCGAAGGTCTGCACTGCAATCTATCACAAGCATTTGGTAATCTGGAAACGGATCTAAAAAGGCTACTAACAAACGACAAGTAGACAGTAACCCGACTATATAATTTACAGGAAGGCTGCAACGGCGGCACATATTTATTGCCTAAAAGAGGATTCGAAAGTACCTTGGCGGGCGTGAACTGGCATTCTGGACCCGGCGACGGGAGGTTTTCCTGCAAGGGTAAGGTTGCAACTGAGGACAGCACACTGCTGGCCAGTACCGGCTGATCCGGGTGCTCGCGCTCATTGATTGGTCTGTAAACCAGGGTGCAAATGAAAGACAGGATCGCCTTCTGCACGCCCACATCCCAGCTGTCGTCGTCACGGGGCAGCGTGAACAGCATACTGAAATAAAGAACACATCCACTTGCATAAGATCGAGACTGAGGACAAAAACTCAAATTCAAGTATGCGTACTAACTGGGCACATTATACGGACGAGAATCGACGACATTCCACAGACTTCATGGGGCCCAAAGAACGCTGAAGTAAAACTAAGAGCAGAACCAGCATTAAAATAACAACGAGAGTCAACTTCTATTAAACAAAACCATGGATGAGTCGTGGAGGTTTTAAAAGTAAGATCAGTAAAATGAGCGCACGTCATAAACAAACAACGTAAACCATTCTAAACATCCTCCTTAGGTAGCGTCAAGAAATGAGGTTAAGGGGGCACAGGTTGTCGAGGAAACTGGTCTTACTTACATACTACTAAGAACTCCTGGGCTACAGGGCGAGTTTTCAATGCGTACAAAATGAAATTGTTCCATAATACAACAGGAGAACAGACTCACAGCAGGCCATTGACGCGCTCATCAGAGGTAGAGTCCTCATTGTGTCCATCAATTTCCAGATTTTCGAATCGTGGAGGACCGACAGATCGGCGAGAGTTCCGACGCGAGGAACCTGGTCCAGTTGTGTCTTGTATTCCGGCATCTTGCCTTGTTGTGGCAGAAGACGGTGCCGAACTAGTGGACGCCGTTGCGCGCGGGTTGCGCGGTTGGCGCTGCTGATTCGTTGTACCGCGATGGCGCACAGGTCCGAAAAGCAGATCAATCAACTGAACAGGACCCGCGTTATGGTTACCACGAACAATGACCCGAGGAAAATTAATGGTACCATCCTCATCGTCCAAGTCCTCTTCCTCGTCATCGTCTGCATCTTCGCCGTCGTCACGACGGCGTCGGCGGTGATGCAGATGTGAGTGACGACTGGCCATGTCAGAGTTTGGAATGCTAAACTGACCGTCCGGATAGCAGTAGACATCTGCGGCTACAATGGCCTCTGCTAGGTTGTAGGAGAGGGACATAATATTAAGAATGTCCACCGCGATGCGTGTGCACTCGCAGCGGCCAGGCCAATTAGCATGGGCGTAGACATTGCGCGCGATAATGCGGTAGAGGAGGGGGATGGCTCCGAGGTCAGCCAACTCCTGGATCGGCGCGAAGATAGTGTCTGGACGCATGCGGAAAACAAGTAAGGCCAGGAGGCGGTTCATCTGCTCGGTGGAGTAATTGATTAGCTAAAGACCAGAGAAGCAGGCGTAAGTAGGAGGCACTAGGGCTACTGTGGGTGTCATTAACTACTTGAGTGAGGTTACAAACCTACCCGGTTGCCAGCAGCGGCCACAATGCGCGGTGGTTCATCGAATATGCCCGCCAGACTGGGATCCACTGTGTCCATCCAGAGGAGGAGACTGATATCAAAGAAACGACGGATGGTGAGAAGACTGGCACGCACTACATGCCAGGAAGTCGAATCCTTTTGCACACTGGGTTCGTCCTCAGTGAGACGAATGGGCAAAACGCAAAGCTGCATGAAAAACAGAGGGCAGAACATGTGGCAACGCTTGGAGAGTACAGCAAGTGGGCACTTGGACGCTAAAATGAGCTTCGCGGGTCTACAGCCATGGTCAACACACCTGATATGAGCGATTAAAGAGGGCGATATAAACGCCTTAGGGACAACGTGTGCCTGGCGGTGGCAGGCCTGACGCTGATCAACTGCACGAACTGCTTCCACCAAGTCACTTCTGCTAATAAACGTTATATTATTTTCTGGAGATTGACAACAGACCCATACCAGCCATGCGTTACATTACGGGTATAATGTTTCCTCAACAAAGTGAGCATAATTTCAGCGGTGGGGAACAACAACCGCAATGAATGCACAAAGGCTCGGTCCAGCAGATTACAGCTGCAAAGTTATGTACTCTCGACTGAAATAACGATAAATAGAAAAACCAGCAAACGACCATTTTGGATCGAATTAAAGCACCGTGGATTACAGTACTTCTCCCTACAAGGAATGGAAGTAGAGAAGTTGACAGGAGAATACAGGACAACAGAAGCTCACCAGACAAGTTCGGTGGTCCGATGTCGCTGTAAATGTAGGCGTTAGCATGAAAAATATTCTCGAGGTACCAAAAGGTAGACTAAGTCCACACTAGGAGAGAGAGGAAGCTGAATATATGCTGGTGTACCGAACGGTAGAAACACGCCACTTATAAGAGTCGGCTACAGGTTAAGGACCACGGCTGTCAGTAAAAGAATAGTATGACTGCTTGCGGCTGAGATAGACTGAGTTGGATAAAACTTACCGCATTGTAGAGATAGCGCAAGCCCTGGTGCTCCCGAAACAACTCGAATGTGGCTCCGTAGCAAAGGGCGATACTGAGGAAGTAGAGGGAGTAACAGCGCGCAGATGGGTGAGCACATTCAATTAGCCAGAGCGAGTACATAATGAGGCTGTGGAGAATGGGAGAAGGCAGTTGGCAGACCTAAAGTCGGGAAAAAATATGCGTAAATATGAGGATCCTGCATAGTTATACTAGTTGAAGCATCGGCACAGGGGTTGACTTTGTCTTCAGAAAAACGCTTAAGTCAAGTGTGCAAATTTTCGAAAATTCTTAAAGTCCATATTTACGAAGGAAAGCGCACTTTTTCCTCCTGACTGCGACATAGCGGAAGGGTCAAGGATAGAGTCCGTCTCTTCCACCGAAGCTATTGTTCGCAAAGAACTGTTGGCGCTGAATGAGTCTAAATCACCTGGGCCGGATGACATACCGCCCAAACTGTTGAAGGAGCTCGCTGGAGAACTATCTTAACAGCTGTCCACGCTCTTCCAAGCTTCGTCCGAGCCAGGCTATTTGCCCATCGATTGGAAATATGCACGGATCACGCCGCTTTATAAAGGCAGCAGCAAGGTCCAAGCAAACAACTACAAACCAATCAGCCTTACTTCAGTTTGCTGAAAAATTTTGGTAAAGATAATTACGCGAGAAATAATGCGCTTCTTAGAAGAGCATAATCTGTTATGCGATGCCCAGCACGGATTTCGTAAAGGCAGATCATGCGTGGCAAACCTACTTTACTGTTTAGAACGCTTCACCCAGGCAGTTGATGGCGGCAATGCAGTGCACGCAGTCTATTTCGACTTCAAGAAAGCGTCGATAGCGTATCAAATCAGCTCGTCCTGTACAAATTAAGCCGAACCCGCATTTGTGGTAATCTCCTAAGGTGAATTCAAGGCTTCTTGGTCGGTCGTTCTATAACTGTCCCTGTCGGTGACAGACAGTCGGCGGAGGTAGTGGTTGAAAACGGTGTTCCTCAAGGTTCCGTCCTTGGCCCTACCCTATTCATTGTATTCGTCAATGACTGCGTCAGTGGACCGAATTGTGATGTCGCCATGTCCGCTGATGATGTTAAGCTTACGAGCGTCATATGAACTGAATTTCACGAAGAACGCTTGCAGGGAAACCCGAGCCAGTTCGAGAAATGGTCGCAGGACTGGCTTTTGCCGTTTAATGTGACTAAGCGCAACACTTTGCGAGCCGGCAGGACCCGATCTCCAGGCCGCAGGGTCTACCACTTAAATGGCCTACCACTGCTGGAGGTAGACGCCCAGAAGGACTTGGATGTGTGGGTCACGGCTTCACTTAAACTGTCGCTTCACTGCTCTGAGGTATCCAAGTCCGCGATGTCAGCGCTTTACCTTGTCAAGTGAGTTTTCTCTACCTTCGATGAGGACTGCTTCGCTAAAGTCTTTCGGACGTTTGTAGGGCCACAGTTGGAGTTCGCTACTCAAGCGTGGAAACCCCGGACCTCTAAAGACCTCAGCATCCTTGAGAAAGGTCAAAGGCGGGAAACTAAACTTGTTAGTGGACAGGGTTCACTACCCTACGAAAAAAGGTTATCCAATCTTGGACTTTTTCCTCTGAGTTGCAGACAGTTATAAGGCGACTGAATACAAACATCCCGTATCATGCGCGGTCAGGACTGCTGTCTTTTACCTGGGGACTTCTTTGAGCTGGCAACCACAACGAACCTCCTACGTGTGACTGGTGCCAGGCTGGACATACGAAAGTCCTTCTTTTCCAACAGTGTCGAGGCTTGGAATGCTGTGCCTGCAGATATCGTCATGCCCGCATCCGTTGAGGCTTTTAAGCGCCAGCTGGATCAGTATACCACCACACGTCATTATGTCACCCGACCGACATCGCCTTAGCGTCTCGTTCCAACAGTTTATTATCGTTCTAATATTACTGCCTGTGTTTCAGCAACGTTCGTTTTTTATTTTATTATTATCCAAAATCCATTAAATGTGAATGCTGGCATTCAATTAGCCTCTCACAAATAGTTGAGATCGTACCAACTTTCTACAGTACAATTATGCATAGACTGACTACTGTACAGCAAACTTAGAAATGTTAATGTTTTTAACACTTGGAACAATTCGTTCATCTGACCGGTTTCGAGGAAATTCTGTAGCTGCTTGATGTTTCCATTTTCAAATTTTTGATATAATTCACTTCCTTATAACAAACTGGGAGTTCAAAGGTTCAACACTTATGCTTCCCTCAAATAAACTGAACTGAACTTCTACCACTTTCAACGTCAAGCTGAACAAACGATATATGGAATCGTATAGTTGCTTGCGGGGGTGATCAAGGAGTCGCTCTCTGTACAGCTCTTACTGACACACAAATGACTTAAAAGTAGCGGCAGCTGTGTTATACCTAACAGGTAAACCAGATAGTATTGTAAATTAATTCAGAACGGTGTCACCTTCCATTTCATTTAAAAGCAGTTGACCAGAGCTCAGAAGTCATTAATCAGTGCACATCCAAGATAGCTTAGTCGTAAGGGCAGCGTGCGCTAACAGCCTCGTCTCCCGCAGTCTTCGGGGGCCTGCATCGCACACCGACCTGAAGCGTCAGGTTGGCCACGGATGACGACACCTACGAATCCCTGCCAAGAGGTGAAGGTTTCACTCTGTCTATCAGTAACAGAGTAGTCACTGCCATGCTATTTCGGAGACCAGTAGGCGTCTACTACAACGCATTTCGGCAAAAGCCAAGACATTAGAAAGTGTGCACATCTTGGTTTTGACGAATGAACACTGTACAACCAATGCACCTCACACAGTAACAAAATCATCGGACAACGAGGTAGGAGGTAATATTCATAAGGGTATTCGGGAAGGATATAAGCAAAGGTGAAAAGGCAAACGCTCTAAGACTCCGCAGTCTGCTGACGTTGGACATGACTAATAAGGTATGTCGGGGCGATGGATTTTCGGCATGGTTAAGATGATAGTCACTGTATCCACTGAAACGACATGGCCAATCCCTCCAACAATATTCCATCAACACTTATAAAGAGGATCACTACTGGCGGCAGAAAAGAATTAGCAGTATACTGCAGTACTAGAGGGATGGACACGCTTTCTGCCCGCAGCCTAGACGCTCATACACAACGGATTCTCCAGATGGTGTCCGCTCGACACACAAGCTTTAGAAAAGTTTGCCTAAAAGGGAAACTAGGTGCCCTCCACGCCCACGTCGCGGGTGTGGTGATAAAAATGGAAAAAGGTGTTGAAGACGTAATCTTATTAATTTACCCGCTCCATTGCGTCCTCAAAGTAGGCGGTGTAGTAAAGCACAACGCTGACCGCGGTTGCAGCGACCGATGGTCTGGGTACCTTTAGGACCAACTCCAGTCCCCGGGACTCGACGAAGTCCAAATGGATACAACGATGACAGAGGAGATTTGCCAACAGACGCAAGGCCTCAAAAGTCAGACGAATGTCTCGACCAGAGGATTCGGGTTCAAGGAATTTGTAGACATAGCGTAAGACGCCCCCGTCATACATGTAAGGCATCATCTATGTAGGGTAGTGAAAAATAAAACAAAAAGAAATAGCGTATAAAACATGCAGGGGAGGCGACAGAGGTCGCTAGTGCCTAATAGGATGCACTCAAGCGATCAAAGGCGAAAAAGAGTGCAAAAAAATGAGGTAAAACAACCGAGACTTCAAATTGACAGCAAATGTTACTGAGCAAGCGCACAAATCGTTGGCGACAAGTTGTGGGAAATGACGTCCAATTGAAACTACTGGCAGCTTCACTGCGATAAGTAATTACCTGTCCTCTAGTATGCGTCTGAGGTTTTCCCTCATGAAATTGCCGCAGCTGCACAGGCTGGTAATTATGAAAAGGAAATTACTTCCCAGTAGCAACTATTTGAAGTCACACGCGAGCCACTCTGTCTATTTTTCAAAAATATAGGCGAGCACATTCGTTGCAACGTCTAAGGTAAAAGCCACTTCGCTCAATCTTTAGATAAGATGTCAAACTAGTACTCTTTAGCAGCTGAATGAATGTACAATGCGGGTAAGGCTAACGCTCAGTTATACGAATGTAAGCGTTCTGATTACTATTACATTCATGTGTATAGAGATATCCTTGACTTTGAGCAGCAAACACCGAATATAAGGACCATACTCGTGGAGATGGCCATTGTCATCAGATGCAAAAACCGTCGAGCCGGTTGAACTGCTCGTAGAACCAATTCGAGCCAATATAACCAGCTTGAAATTAATTACATATGATGGTTAGGTCACTAAAGACAACAGTTTTAAATATGCAAGAAGCAAAACAGACCACTGCTGGGTAATAAAGGAAGGGCACCACAAAGTGCGGAATGGACAAGTAATGAACTCACATCCTGGTATTCAGCGAGAGACGTAAGATATGACATGCAGAGTCGCAGTTTCATCTCCAGTGTCATCGGTTCCAGACAGAAAGAGCCCAATCGGTTGCTAAACCCCGCATCGTTGCTAGATGTAGGATCTACGGAGAAGAGAGAGGAAACTTCTGGCTGCATTATATGCCATAACTAGCTCGGCCACCGAATGTTTATAGCATCAGCTGTTGAGTATTCCCGGCTGAACAGTGATGAGATGAGCTTGAATTTAGTCAATCTGTGCAGTAAGAACGTCCTTTTTTACCTAATATAGTCAGAATTGAATACAAAGACTGATTCATGACAACCAGAAGTGACTTCGGACGTTGAGTCTGGCCAAACACTCCTTCCCTGGTTTATGCGTTTTGAAACGCCATGTTCCTTTGTAATCGAGTCAAAAAAGCCTCCCACAATCGTATATCTCCATTCGCCAAAGTAACCTACCAGCATTTAATCTCCACGGGAATCTGCCGGGCATCCCATACGTCTAGTGATATAACAGCGCGGGAAATACAAGGGCATAAATACGTGACTTTAAGTCAAAATGCAATCAATAACCGAAAAAACCTACTCTGATGGATATCACTTTCGAGCTGGACAATGTAGGACGCCATGCGATTGAGCACAATAGGAACCTGGTCAGATGATAGAGCTAAACATACTTAAGCAACATACCAGTTCAATGTTGCGGTGTTTGGTGACGTACAACAACTCCGCGTTATCCAATATAGACCCAAGGAGGAGGAGAGCATAGCAGTTGGTCGGTTCAGCATCGCTGAGGGCCAACTTGTACAATGTGTTCACTGTAATATCCTACAGGAGAGTGGGTGCGTGTATAAGGCAGATATAATAAATTACCCCCTCGCCTACAGTAAAAGAAAGGGTTACACCAAAGTGTATGCTGCAGAGGAGTCTGGCGGCAGCCCTGACAGTGGGATCATTGGGGTCGTCGCTACCACAAAGGTAGTCAGTGAGTCTCTCAAAGAAGGAGTCATGGAGGGTGATGAGACGAAGCAATTGACCGAGCTCACAGTTGGAGTCAGTTCGGAGGGGATGACGATCATCGAGGGGGTCGGGGTCGGTCCTGTAGAATATGTTAATCTGTTCTTCAAAAAGTTCTGAAAACCTAGGTGGTTTAGGTATAAGGATCGATAAACAATCTACTTGGTGAGTATGGCCTGTGGGTTGTAGCCGGGAGAGTTTCGAGCGTTGCGCCACTCTAGCATCAACTCCTCAAAGCGACCAGTAGCATGCAGTTCGAGGTCGTCCTCGTCGGACATGGCCACGAGTAGCAAATTCAAACTGGACGTGGAGAAAAAGTAAGTGGAAGTATGGTTTATGACGGTGAAATCCAATTTGAAGACATTGAAGAGGTCGCAAAGGGACAACGCAAGAACTCAAACAGAGGGTTTTCTTGTCCACAATTACAGGAAAGTGGTAGAAGAGGGGAGGGGCGGAGAAACCCCGCATCACCAAAATATTCGATACTGGGGTATAGAAAAGCTGCAATGCTCTTTTCCAGCAATGCTAACTGACATATAGTCAACAGAAGGCTATGGTTTATTTATTGACTTCACCGACGTGATTGGTCTTGTTGACAGAAACAACCAGAGACCTGACAGAAAGGGATGCCAAACCGTGGTTTAATCAAATTTTTATGAAAGTTCACGGCTCAGGACATATAACTAATATCATAGCGCCTGCAAGAAACGGCAGATTCAAATCTCAGTGGATATTCCGGCATAAATACGCGCCGTCATGCTTCCAAAATGAGGGGAACTTTGAGTTGCTTAAAGGAACTTGAGCCCAAAACACACTTACCGTCGATATTAACCTACTTTAACTAGGTTTTTCCTGGCGGAAGTCAGGCTACCTAAGTGTGGCCGCACAGTAGTCACGGTATCCGGACTCAATAAAATCTGCCACCTCCATTACACTGGTGTACAGAACAAGATCTGAATACTTAACATCGTAGCTGCGTTACACCAGAGGACAAAAAGGTGTTCGCGGTAAAGAAGTTCAGTTCTCTTCACAATAACAACACTGAGTTAAAAGGCGGCATTTCCTGCATAAGTGCAGTTGTGGAGGATGGAAAGTTCTAGGATGGTCTCCACGAGTTCGATTTCCTAGTTCCCAGGCAACACCAAAATCATTGTAAATAACCGGAACATGCGCACCAGAAACGCCTTAAATTCGAACTGCAAACGAATGCAATGAAAACCCGTGGTACTGATTGATCGTTCATGCCAAAAGAGTCGCTTTTCATCCTAGGCAAACTGAAATGTTCGACTGATTTATCTATTTCTATATCTTAGTTATAATATCAGCACTACCACGTACAACATAAAATCAACACCGTTGATGAGTAAAGCCTAATGATTCAGGAATTGTCACGCACACTCGACCTAAGGAAATTCGGCCTATCAGAGGTGTCAGTTTTCAGTCTCCCGTCAGACTTGACTCCTCCATCGTGGTGGCAAA